GAGATGGAGCTACTCCGGGAGGGGAAATGCTGAGAACGAACATCGCTGACCACGTTTTAAACTCGTCTCGCTGCGCGCTTTTTGCCATCTCTGCCGCCGCCCTCGGCAAATCCTGGAGTCCACGAACCAGCCGACCCAGGAACAGAGATGCCAAAAATAATGTAAAGAGCCTTTTTTATTTATTTTTTTTCTCAGGGGGGAAACCCTTCGCTCCACAAAACTTACCATCTAAGAGCTCCAGAGTTACAGTGCCATCAACGTATTCCCACCAGTGCTTCCCGTCCGTGGAGACTGGGATCTCCCAGTTGGACCATTTACAAGCCAGGTGGATACAGACGCAGGCCACAACGGGCGGGGTGTACTGCAGGCTGAAGGTGGTCCGGTGCAGGCTGAAAGACACCAGCGGGGAGAGAGAAACAGAAAGCCATCAACTCCCAAGCCTGAACTCCGGCGCTCACCATCGCCCGCTGACCAGACGCTGCGCAGGAGGCGGGGAAACCCCGGCCCTTCCTCCCCCAGTACGGCCCTACTGATACTGGGGGGCAGGGGGTCGTGCCTCCAGCCCGCTCCGCCGGCTCGGCTCGCCGCGGATAAATCTGGGGGTGGGCTACTTGACCGAGGCTCGGCAGGCTCAGAGACACTTCCAACTCTCGGGACGGCATTCAAGGAGCAAACGGGCCCTCGGCAGCTTTTAGGAAAGGTCTGGCCTTTCCCCTCAGCCATTTTTTAGGAAAAGCGAGCGAAACTTCGGCTGTGAACAGCACCACGAGCGACTCGGGAGCACCTAAACAAGGATTTTCATTAGTGAATTTGTCTGCCAAGCGACAGCTCGGATGCCAGCGCTGGGAGGTCCAGAGCACCGGGAAGGGGAGAACCGATGCGCTACGGACACGTCCTGCTCCCTGCCTGCAGGAACATCAGCTCTTAGAAAGCAGCAGAGCGAGCTGAGCAGCAGATTCGCCCGCTGTGCCCCTCACGAACCGGCCCTCAACGGAAACGGCGGCACCGAGCACCGACGTGAGGCCGCGGGACGGCGTTACCCACGTTTCTTCGCCCTGCTCAGGTTATTAAACATCTTTTCCACCAACACAACACGGGGAGAGACAGAGGTACCATCTACAGCCAAAAAGTCCGAAGTCATTTCAGAGATTCCGCACCAAGAAGTCAAAGCCCGGGGATTCGCAGCCCTCGGCCACTCTGCCACGGCACGAAGCGAAGCCGAGGTGCACAAAAACCTTTAACTCTGCCTCGTAACGACACCAGGAGCCCAATCAATCTGGCTCATCGCGTAAGCACCCTCGTGGGGCATTTTGTGGCGTCGCCTTACAGCAAAATCGAGGCTGCCTGGCTGCATTTCTCCCTTTCTGCCTGGATTTCTTTCAGTTAGAACCTTAACTCACGATTCCTTGGCTTTGCCGCCACCACCGCCAGGATAAAACAGGTCTCAAGGATTCATCCACCTCAGCGTCACCACCACCACCCGCCCTCGACGCAGGGAGCCCACGCAGCCCCCTTTGGAGCCAGAGAGCACCTCCACCCACCGGGGTGACCAGGGAACGCCACTCACGTGCAGAGAGGAGCGAAATAACTCGCCCAAGGCCACGGACGTTTGCTGGGCCAGGGCTTGGAAGCGTTCCCTGACTCTGCAGCTTCACCCAGGCTAGTGCCTAAACCACCTTTTTCTCCCCCCCCCTTCCCTTTCGCCAGCTCTTTCACGAAACCACAAGGTTTTCCGTGCCCACGACTCGGCCCGTTCTGAACCTTGACTCCCGTGATTTGCCTGGAGCTGATTATCCAGGAAATTAAATTTAACGAGTGGAAGTCCCAACGCAAGGACCGGTATCAGCCTCGCAGTGAAAGTCTAGTGACAAAACTACCCCAAGGTGAAAAAAAGGGGCTTTTTTTGTTTCCAAGACCCTGCTCACAGGACTGTCTGTCCAGCCACAGCGATCGCTTTCTCTTGTAACACCTCGAGCCTGTATCCAACGTCCCTTTCTCTCCATTTATACCCTAGATCAGCCTTTTTTGAGGTACAAACCGCACCGGTTGGCAACCACACAGCACCTCCTTCAGCAGAAACTCTCCAACGCCCAGGTACTAAGCAAATAAAACCATATATATTCATTCCAACACTACCTTGTTGGGTTGAGTTTTTTCTCCGCATTCACAACTGTAACTCCCCAGAAAAGCCTGCGTGTCCCACCTGCCTCACCCTTCGGGCCAGGCCTCACCCTTCGGGCCAGTTCTGCAGCTGGGTTTGACCAGCAGCGAGCAGGAGAAAGGGTTCCCGCTCGTTCGGAGCCAAACCGAGCAATCCCCGCTTGCTCGCGGGCCGACCGGTGCCCCGGGGGTCACCGGCAGCTCATCTCCTCCAGACAAGCCCCTCTGCCAAATAGGAATAAAGCAAAATAGTAACCTGTTGGTAGCCATGAAGTAGGAAGTTTGCGCCAAGTCCTTGCTGGCTGAAATGAGACAAAAAAGCAGGGCGTGAGTCTGCGGATCCCGAACAAACACCGTCACGTTTCCGCGCGACAACCAGGGGCCTCCCGCCACCCCGCGAAGGGTTTTCAGGAATCGCCGTACGCAGGGGGCTCTGCAGAGCCACCACGTCACATCGGGCGTTGGACGTTCGTTACGGTTTTAAGGAGACAGAGCGGGGAGGAGGGGGAAGGAAATCCTGAGCGAAGCGGCGCGTTCCCAGCTCTCACCTCGCACGAGCTGCGTGCACTTCACCACGTGGGTGTGGGGGTGGTCGATGGTGATCTCGAAACCTGGAAGAACACAAGACGTGGGGACATCAGCAAACCGGCAGCACGGCCCCACGGATCTACGAACCTCACGTTTCCTGCTCCTGGGGGGCAAGAACTTCTCCCCTTCCCTCCTACAGCCCCTGCTCTCTGCTCGGAGGCGAGCGGGAACAGAGGAGCCCGTTTTGTGTTTTTTTCCTGTATCCAGAAGACTCAAGTTCTCCAGTCACAAAACCCGAAGGTCACTGCTGCTGCCAGACCTCCGAGCAGCTAAACGACTCCTGGGCTTGAAAGACCTCACTGAAAACAAAACAACTATTAAAGGGTTTTAAAAATAGCAGGACAAAGCCTCTTACAGCAGCTGGGAGGAAGGAGAAGACAATGGCATCTGCTCAAAGGAATTTCTCTCACCCAAAAAGCTAAGAGGAAGCAGACGTTTTCCCTTTGAAGGAGCCTGACAACTGAACGCAATCCTCGCTTCAGTTTCCTACTCGGTTTGGCCATTATGTTTTAAAGAAAAGGGGAAAACAAAAAAATATGCAAATTGGTCCATGTGGGCAACAGATTTGGTTCTTCCCACGCGGAACATTCTAGAAGGACCAGGACGTTAAAAAGGCAACTGGAGAACCAGGTCGCTGCAGAACTGGGGTCGCGGTTTCGCCACCGGCATGGGCGACCCCCGCCCCGAGAGCCCTGTCCCTCCTGTCCCCTCGCGAGTCAGGGACGAGCAGCGCGTGCTCTGACCCACACGGGGAACAACAAAGGCCCACAGAGTATCCTGGAGCAGAGGGCTATCTACAGCCTGCCTCTGAAATGGAATGAGTTAGTAAAAATAAGTTTTAACAGCACATTTCAGCGAGAAACAGGATACCTGATCCAACAGGTAACAGCCCTAAACGCAGGTTCCAACTTCTACTTTAAAAAAAAAAACCAAACCCAAACGCAAAAATTCTTTCCGGTTTGTTTTTTTTATCCCCTGTGTTCAGCTCTCTGCTCAAAATATTATCTTCCAGCCCAGGTTTGGTTGGGCAGCTCTCAATGCAAACCGCTCCCTGGCTACAGGGCTGGAGCGCTACCGGGTTTAACAGCACAACGGGGGACAGCGGCCGGCGTCCGAGCAGTATAAAACCTGTTGTGGAGGGAAGATTTTCTTTTTTAAAAAAAAAAAAAAAAGAGACGAGCCCCATTTTCACGCTTTACTTTCTCTGAGCATTGAACCTGACACAAGTTTGCACCTGAAAAAACTTGACGTTAAGAGGAAACCAAGAAGGAGCGGGTGTGAAAAAAAAAAATAAAAAAAATAGAGTTTGTTGCCTGGACTCTTGCTGTCCCACTGGCCAGCTGTGCATCTGCCCTCCAGCTGTGGAGAAGACGGGGCGGTTAGGCTCTCCGCTCTGCGGAACGCTCCTGGCTCTGGGATTCGTGTGGCGGCCCGTCCGCTTTGAAAAACTTACCCAGGGTCTGCAGTATTATGCTCTCTAGAATGACCAGGTCTTGGGCTTGTTGCAGGTAAGCCTGGGGTTGAGAGGACAGGCAAGTTACTCACGATGAGGCACTCCGCATAAAGCCTGCACAATTCTAACACCCTCTGCTCTCAGGGAGGCAAAAATAGCAAGGGAGAACCTTTGTGCTGCTCGGCACCGGGGGGCTGGCACAGGTTCCCCGCCAGGAGAGAGGAAGCAGAGTGCTGGGGCCGACCCGCTCCCCCTCCTGCCAGGGGACGGTGGCTTCAGGATCCACAGGGGCGCTTCTCACTCCTGGGCCTTTGCACCGCACAGGATGGCTACACGAGCAGTACCAGCAACCAACTGCTTTTTATTTTTTTTTACTGTTATTAGTCTTTTTTTCTCCTTAAGCTTTCCTGGATAAAGCTGCCCCTTTCCAGCAGGGCTGGCTGCTCAGTTCCAGGCAAGGCGGGCTGTCTCGAGGGGGATCGGCAACTTTTTTAACAAACCTG